ATTAAAAAAAAAGTACTTGTAGGTTATTACAAAAAAAAAAAAAGAGAGAAAGCGACAGTCTGGGAAGTTCACAGAAGCCGTTCTACCTGGCGTTCTACCCTTTACCTGCAGGCTCACGATCAGTCGGCATTGACTTAATGGCAGTGAGTCTTTGAGTTTGGGTCCATTTTGTTCCCCCCAGATTTTATTTTAAGATCATTTTACTGGGGGGGGGAGCTCTTTTTTTTTTCTCTTACAGCTCTTATAACAATCCACACATCAATTGTATCAAGCTTATTTGTACATATGTTGCCATCATCATTTTCTAAACATTTACTTTCTATTTGAACCCTTGGTTATCAGCTCCTCTTGTTTCCCCTCCGTTTTGAGGTCTTGACATACGAACGGGCTTCAGACACACGTGTGAGAACTTCCATGATCTTTTCCTTCGTTTTCCTCACAGCAGTTTGAAGCCCCCCCCACACTTCCTGAGGGAACTCACAGCTCGCCACGCTGGGCCTTGGGATACGTGGCGGGGACAACTTGCCCCCTCTGAACCGGACCCCTGGCAGATATGGGTTCGGGGAAGCCCAGAAGTGATGAGGGTGGGGGCGAGTGGGGCTGGCTTGGGCGGGGGCAATTAAGGCTTTGATGGAGAGGGGGGCACCAGGCTGGGGCAGGCAGAGTCCTGGAGGGCCTCACTCCCTTCTCGTCCCCCACAGGATGGGGTGCGTGAAGTCCAAGTTCCTCCTGTCGAGAAGCAAGGCCTCTCAAAAGGAGCCCAGCTCCACCCAGCAGAGCCCCATGTACGTGCCGGACCCCACGTCTGCAGGCAAGCGGGTGAGTAGGGACGGGTGGCCAGAGGCCTGGTGTACCAGGAAGACACAGCTGCATTGAGCATCTGGAGCCAGAGCGTCCCTGTCTTTGTCCTGGGGTCTAGGCCTCAGCTGATCGGCCTGAGTTTCAACGACCAGGCCCTGAGCAGAGTACACGTGTCAGCAGGGCTGGTTCATCGCAATCCTACAGTAACAAGTGCAGTAACAATCGTAGCAACACAATGAAGTCTACCAGTAGTACTCTCAGCAGGAACACTAGCCAGGGTAGGAGCTTAAATAGGAGGTATTCCCTGACCTCAAGAGGAGCCCTGGTGGTGTAGGGGTTACCTGTTGGGCTGCCTTTTCCAACCTTTGAAACCCCCAGGTGCTCTGCGGAAGAAAGACGGGGCTTTCTACCCTCGTAAACAGTCAGTCTTGGAAACTCACAGGGGCAGTTCTACCCTGTCCTACAGGGTTGCCACGAGTCAGCATTGACTGGACGGCCGTGAGTGTGGTTTTTGTTTTGTTTTAAGTTACCATGCCTGCTTTGTGCCTACACAGAGCTTAGTCTGAGCGAAGGACTGCGCTAAGCACTTTACATGACTGACCCCTCTACTCCTCACAAGAGCCCACTTGCCAGTAACCCTGTTCATTATGCCCATTCGATAGATGAGGCCCAGAGAGGTGAAATCACTTGCTTAGGCTGTGGCGGTCAGGATCCAAGCTCGGGCACTGCAAGCCCCCCACTCCCTGTGACAGGGGCCAGAGTAGCAGGGGCAGAAGCCAAACACTGATGTTGGGAACAGCAGTCGTGTGGGAACCAGAGCCAGAGTGGTAATCATGGAAATGACAGTTGCCGCCACCCCTGCAGCCATGCGCGCCGTACCAGCAATACCAGAAACTCAGCAATAGTCACCATCATGGCGCTAGCCACGGAAGCAGCCACAGTGGTGATAACAGTAACGTCGTTGTTGTTGTTGTTGTTGGGTGCCGTCGGGTCAGTTCTGACTCAGAGCGGCCCTGCTCACAAGAGAAGGAGACACTGCCCAGGCCTGCGCCATCCTCACCATTGTGCTGATGTCTGAGCCCATGGCTGCAGCCACGGCGTCCCTCCATCGCCTCAAAGGCCTTCCTCTTTTCCGCTGCCCCTCCACTTTCCCCAGCATGACGTCCTTCTCCAGGGACACAGGGCTGCTGACGACAGGACTGCAGCAGCAGGAACCGTCACAATCATTATCACTATTCTTCTGATTGTTCCAGGCACGGAGGGACGTGCTTCTGGGTCATTGATTCTCACCGAAGGCCATGGGGCAGGGCTAGCCCACTTTACAGTGAGGCTCACTGAGACTCAGAGAGGTTACATGGCTCCCTGAGCTCACGCAGCAGGAGAGTGGTAGAACTAGGTCTGTCTTACCCCAGGGCTGCAGCGCTCTCTGCTCCGCTGCCCTTTCGCCCATCCCCTCCTCTGGGGTGGTCTGGGGGGTGGCGGCCCCTGTGCACTGCCTCTGCACAAGGCCTCACCTCTTCCTGCTTGGCCCTTTCTCCAGTCAAGTCGTGCAGTCCTGCTACTCACTACTCTTCTTCCCCCGTCCCCAACCTACCTCTTGTTTCACGTCCAACACTGCCACGTCCTTTGCCCAACAACCACCTGTAGAGATGGAAGGCAATGCTCTTGTGCCACTGGCTCCCCAACACACGCATGCACACACACACACACACACACACACACACACACACACACACCCCTCCCCAAGACCCAGCTCCCAATACATACATACACACACATACACATTCTCTCACTCACTCCCTCCTCCCAATCATTTCTCGACATGACTTCTTGGTCTCTCCCCTGGCTGCTTTCCCTGCTCCTGGCACAATGTCTCCAACAGGACTACGTTTACAAATTGGTTATTAAGGAGGATAGCCACCTCCCTTCCTCTGACGGTCAGCCTCTATCTACGGAGCCTGTGATGTAGTGGTTACACATTGGGCTGCTAATGCAAGGTCAGCAGTTCGAAACCACAGCCACTCCTTGGGAGAAAGATGAGGCTTTCTACTCCCATAAAGAGGTACAATCTCAGAAGCCCACAGGGGCGGTCCTACCCTGTCTTATAGGGTTACTATGAGTTGGTATGGACTCGCTGGCCCTGAGCTTGGTTTTTTGGTTTGGTGACTACCTGAACTTCTCCCTCTGGTGACGTCCTAAGCTGAGCACACACAACTCCCCCTAAACCCTGACCAGACCTGCCCTCTCCCAGCCTGCATGGCCCCAGGCCCTTTCTGGGTGGGGGTGTGGGTAGAGGGAGGGACCTCGGGACCTGGCTTGTCGCCGGCGGTGGCAGAGGGCTTTCTCCGGTCAGTTCTTGGTGGGCCTCGCTGAGTGTCAGAGAGCAGGGATGCTCTCACCAGCCACTTCTTGCTCCTGCGCAGTGGGATGTGAGTCCAGCAATAAGTTAGCAGGTGTCCTCAGAGAACTGGTCCTGGCGTCAGATCGGCTCAGGGAACCGAGCACCTGGGCACCACAGACCCCTTTTGCCACAGTCTTCCCGACCTCGAGCCTCTGGAAACCTTTGTAATGGGTTGCGTGAATCTCCCAGAAAACCAGGTCCTTCTTAATGTTTCAAACCTGTTTCTTTAAAATAATGGGAATGGTGCTAGTCCAGGTTGACTAGGGAAACAAATCCAGAGGCCTTCACAAATGTGTAAGAGATAAATTTATATCAAGAAGTAATTATGCACCAATAAAACAGCCCAGCCCAGTCCAGATCAAGTCTGTAAATTCAATATTAGCCCATTAGCCCATGAATTCCTCTTCAGACGCATGCAGCACGTGCAATGATGCCAGATGCAGGAAGATCACTGGCGGGTGAGTAAACAGTCTTGTGGATCCAGTGGCCATGGAAGCATCTCCGTGTGGCTCCTCAGCAGGAAAGGGAAGGCAGAGAGAGAGAGAGTGGGTCTGGTCTCCAGTGAGCTATTTAGCTCAATCGCACCTCCAAATAAAGTCATCAAGCTCTGGCCTGATTGACAGGCTAAACTCCACCCCTTCGCTCTCAATATCCTCAAGTTGACAGGAGATGACGGAACTACCACAGGTACCCTAGTCCTATGCAAATAACTCGCCTTCAACTTTTGTTGGCCTGCAGCTCCCTTGCTCTGGGAGATATTTTCTAAGTCTACAATGTCGATTTTTTTAATATATGTATAGTGACATATCAAACAACATGGCCTAGCTGAGGCTTACAAAAAAACACCTCCCAGGGGAAGGGATCAGTTGGCAAACAAACTTCAAAGGTGTATTATTTGTGTGTGAAAATCCCATCAGAACGTGTAGAATACAGTACATTCTTCTTGAAATAAAAGCAAACACAAGTTACAGAGACAACTCTAGCTCCCACTGACTCACACTGCTAACTCACACCCTTCTCTAGAGCTGTCAGTGGCTCTGAGGCTCATGTGGACCCTGGCAAGCCTTTTTTTTTTTTTTTTTTTTTAATGAACCTGGATTACCCTTTACACGTACATAGTGTGTGTCCACAGGAAATACTCAGGGCCCTTGTGTGTGTTGCATCAATATGATCTGTATTTATTTCTCTTTCGGCAAAAGGAGCTATTCGCACATGACTTCCGCTCACCGCGGTGGATGCTGACTCAGAGTGGCCCTAAGAGAACAGGGCAGACCTGCCCCTGTGAGTTCCTAAGGCGTGAACTATTCATGGGAGCAGCAGACCCCGACTTTCTCCCCGAGGAGCCTCTCGTGGTTTCAAACTTCCAACCTTGCAATTAGCAGCCCAATGCGTAAACACACCACCTCCAGGGCTCTTTCCATACGACATACACTGGGGTGTGAATGACTGTTCAGAACCATCCTGCTTTGAGATCTAGTGGTGTTGGGGATCAGCCAACCTCGCTGTCATAAGGGCTGCGTAGAGCACCACAGGGGAGACCTGGATCCCTTGGCCAGGGCACTGAGGCTGCTTCATGAGCATCATAGAGCCTTCATTCCTGAGAGACGGAGAGGCAGCTTGGAAAATGCCGATCTGGGCCATTCCCTTGCAGTCTGCTGAGGGGAAACGACAGGCCAGCATCCCTCAGGATGTCCAAGGAGAGGGGACCAGATGGCGGCCTAGATTCTTGTGCTGGCTCTGCCCCAGTGCGCCGTGTGACCTCGGAGCCCGTCCCCAGCCTTCTCTGGGCTTCCTCCCATGGTGGGCAGGACCGGAAGGAGATGCTCTTGGGTGTCCGTGGCTTTGCACACATCATCAGACTCACCCTCCTGTTTCTTCCCTGCAGGGGTTTAACAACAGCGGCAATCAGCCAGGGTCCTCGGAGGGTAAGTGTCCGGCCAGCAGCCTCCGCAGAGTCATGAATTATGCAGAAGGTTAGATTCTCAGTTCAAGCGTGAGGCAAAAATCCCAACCAGTCAAAACCTCCCTTGAAAAGCCCCTAACTTGCCCCTGAAGAAAGGCTGCTGTACTTCTGACATCTTGGGCAGCCACCTGAGTAAAACACCCCCCCCACCCAGTCCCCCACCCCATTAGCCTTGAGAGTCACAGTCAGCACGGCAGGTCCCTGACTTACCCTGCAATGTCTCAGTGGGCCCAGGACTGGACGCTGGGATGGGGGACACTCAAGCTTGGGTGTGTGGCTGGGCCGCCCTCCCATGTGCCTCCCCTCCCTGCAGGTCCTGAGGAAGTCACTGTGGTCGCCCTGTATGATTACGAGGCCATTCACCACGAAGACCTCAGCTTCCAGAAGGGGGACCAGATGGTGGTGCTGGAGGAGTGAGTGCCCCTCCGTCTCTCCGCAGGACATGCCCCACGCTGCCCTCTGCGCTTTCATGCAGGAAGAGGCTCTCTTAGACGAGGGTGGTCGTGACTGGCAAGGACGCAGACATAGTAGTGGAGTGAGGGTTGGCTATCACTCAGATGAAAGTCGCCATGGAGGGGACTGGGTTCGACTGGGCACACCCAGGCAGAGCTGAGCAAGGGGACGCTGTTTCTCAGGAACCCTTCCCGGGAGCCTTGTGAGGAAGCTCCAGGCTGACCTCGAGATGGGGCCCTACTGAGGTGACTACACCCACAAAGCTTTGCTGCCTCTGACCCTCCTAGTCTTCACAAGGGTGGGGCAGACCCCACCCTCACCACCCCCATCCCCGGCTGTGCTGGGGCGGTCATTCTGGGTGAGACTCCTGAACTCACTCCCTCTGACTCTGGGCTGAACACCTGTGAGGGTCTCACAGGCGAGGGCCCCCGCCATGGGTATGACAGGGAAGACCCAGGTCACATGTCCTGGGAGAGCAGCAGGGTCACAGGCCCAGGGCTGAGGGCTTTAGTAGCAGACGCTTGACTACACAGTGGGAAGTGTTGTCAAGATCCTTACCCTGGGGCGCACCCAAGGGTCAGAGAAGTGACGTCCCTTACTGGCTTCCTGCCGGTGGGGGTTATTCCAGACCAAGGCTGGGAGGCCCCCAAAGGCCCAGGAAGATGGCTCTTCTTCCTCTGACCCCTTCACGCGCTTGTGTCCCCCAGGTCTGGAGAATGGTGGAAGGCTCGATCCCTGGCCACCCGAAATGAGGGCTACATTCCAAGCAACTACGTCGCCCGCGTTAATTCCCTGGAGACAGAAGAGTAAGTATTCCATTTCCCCGTAACCAGCATGTTTGCCTGTAGGTTCTCTGCAGCACGAGCCAAGTTGGTCTTGCTCCTACCCCAGGGCCTTTGCCCTAGCTGTCTCCCTTGCCTGTCGCAATCTTTCTAGGGTTCTCTGTCTAGCCGGATCCATCTCCTCCTTCAGAGGCTTGCCCTGACCACTCTGCTGTCTGAAGTGGGCTCCCTCTGGGACTCTGTCTTGCTGCCTCTGAACAAACCCTTCTCGCCAGTGAAAAGGACTTTGTTGATCCGTTATCTGCATGTGCACTGCCTGCCTCCTTACTGGAAGATGGACTCAGGAGGGCAGGGCCCTTGTCCGTCTGCTGCTGCATCCTCAGTCGAGGCCTAGCATGCAGCAGGTGCTCAATAAATACTTGCTGAATGAAGCATGCACTGTGCTGAGGCGGGTTTCCCGAGAGGGCAGCTGGCCAGTAATCCCCTCGGTCAATTCACTCCGCAAACGTGCTGGTGCCCATACCTTGTCAGGCCCTGTGCCAGGTAGTGGCTGTCAGCACAAAGGCTTCTCCGGACCTTCAAGGATCCCCTGTAACCATCACTCTCAGGGGGTCAGTTCTTTGTGGCAAACTTGACTCAGAGCAAAACACTCGGTCTTCATTCAGCCATATCCCTTCCAACAGATATTTTTTGGAGCACCTACTGCGTACCTAGCAAGCCTGTGGAGTAGAGATTGCATGTTGGGCTGTGGCTCCCATGGTCAGCAGTTTGAAACCACCAGCCACTCCCTGGGAGAAAGAGGAGGCTCTCTCATCTTGGAAAGAGTTACAGTCTTGGAAACCCGCAAGGGCAGTTCTACCTGGGCAGTTCTATAAGGTCACTATGACTCAGTATTGAGTTGGTTTTGGATTTGACTGTGTACCTAAGGTGGTGCTGTAGGTCAGGCATGGGCTGTTAACCACAAGGTCCACTGTTCAAACCCACCAGCTGCTCCACAGAGAAAAATGAGGTCGCTCCTATGAAGATTGACCATCTTGGAAATCCTCTAGAGCAGCAGTTCTCTCCACCTTCCCAAGGCTGCGACCCTTGAACACAGTTCCTCATGTGGTGGTGACCCCCCCCCCCAACCATAAAAACATTTTCATTACTACCTAATCACTGTCATTTTGCTACTGTTATGAATCAGGTGACCCCTGTGAAAGGGTCGTTCGACCCCCTAAGGGGTCTTGACTCGCTCGTTGAGAACTGCTGCTCTAGAGGATTGCTGTGAATTGGAATTGATTTAATGACTTCAGCCTGGTTTGCTTGTTTTTTAATTTGTTTTTATTTCTGTTTTTGGTTCGGCTGCATCCCTGGCCCTATTCCAGGGATACAAGGTGAAGCAGACAGGGCCCCTCCCTATGTTCGTGGTGGGGGTGGGGGTGGGGTGAAACTGACCAGGGAAATGATGGTTACACTCACTCAGCCTCACTGACAACTGACTCCAGTCCATTCTGACTCATAGCCACCCTACAGAGCCAAATAGAACGTCCCCCATAGGTTAAGGCTGGTTTTTTTCTACTTCAGCAAAGTAAAAAGCTTTATTTTTCCCCCCTCAGAAGGGCTGATGGGTTTCAACTGCTAACCAGCGGCCTAACGTTTAACCAAGACACCGCCAGTGGTTACACTAGAGGCAGCAATAGATCCGATTAAGAACCAGCCAACCAAACTTAAAAAGATAGTCTCTCCTCTATCTGCTGGCTCTATCTGGCTCTCTATCTGCGGTCTCTCTAATCTGGCTGTCTCTCCTCTGTCTGCTGGGGTGCTCTGGCGACATGGCAGGGTGGCCGTGGGATGCTGGCCAGTCGGGAGGCTGGTAAAAATGATGTTTGGGCTTTTCCTCTCCTTAGGCACAAAATCCCCATTGTCCTGTGGAGTGTCCCCTCTTGTGGCCTTGAAGAAGCCCCCTCTCCCACTGCTGAGCCTGCTGTCCCGATTGTCCCGGGCCTACCCTCAGACTTCTTGCTCCTTCTCCCAGGATTCCCTGGGCTATCCTAGGCTCTGCTCCCCCATTCTGGCCTCTGAACACTTCCAGAGTTTGGGGACCACCTTCTTCCTTGAAGGAGGCCCAGCTGTTTTTACTTCTCAAAAGCATCACCCCCACTAAGTGGCTGCAGCAGCAACGTGCATGCTGGGTTATCCCCTGCGCGAAAAGCAGTCACCTGAGAGGTGCTTCTCAGGCAGGAGTGGGCACCCACCTCACCTGGAAGACCGGCTCCAAGTCTGCCTTGGGTGTCCTGACTCGCAAATATCTGGCTCAGACTTTGCATTTGATTGATGCCTGCTGGTCCTCGAGAACCCTTCCTGAATAGTCCTCTCCCGGCAGGGCACTCTCACACGTTCACGTTTGCATGCAGAAACTTCTATCACAGGGTGTCTCTAGGGAAGGCAACTGGGGCTTTTGGAATCAGGGTGGAAAGGAAACATAGGCCCTCCCCTGCCCTCCGACACCGCTCGGCTCCCTCCTCCCCGCCTTGAGGCAGGCAGTCCTTTCAAATGTTTCCAAATGCACAGGACCTGGAAGGGCACAGAGAAGTCTCCCTCCCTGTCCCCAGCCAGCCTCGTCCCTCCCAGAAGCACCTAGGGTGCCCACTCACCTGTGATCCTTCTCTGATTTCTTAGACCTACTTGGCCAGTCATTTTAAGGCAGCCCCTAGATCAGCGGTTCTCAACCTGTGGGTCACGACCCCTTTGGGGGGGGGTCAAACGACCCTTTCACAGGGGTCACCTGATTCATGACAGTAGCAAAATTAGTTATGAATTAGCAATGGAAATAAGTTTATGGTTGGAGTCACCACTACATGAGGAACTGTATTCAAGGGTCGAGGCAGTAGGAAGGTTGAGAGCCACTCCCCTAGAGCATCCCATCCCCCCTCGTTCTTACAGTGTGTCCAGCATGTCGAAGCCCCACTGTCCCATCCGTGGTCACTTTAGTGATTTCCGGTCTTGAGTTGCAATGAATCCTCTTGTGTCATTTCTTCCTGTGTGGATGCCACTTCTCTCTTGGGCCAGATCGGTGGAATAACTCCCTCCTGATGAAATGACTGTGCAGGCATTTCTTAACTCCATGCCCTTGACAGGAGCCCTGGTGGCATAGTGGTGACACAGTTACATGGCCGCCTGCTAACCGCAAGGCCGGCAGTTCAAAATCACTAACCACCCTGTGGGGTAAAGATGAGACGTTCTACTCTCACGAAGAGCTATAGTCTCTGAAACCCACAGGGGCAGTTCTACGCTGGCCTTGGGGGTTGTGATGAGTTAGAATCGGCTCAATAGCAGGGAGTTGTTTTGATTCGGTTTTCTTGAGTAGTTTATCACGGTCTGAATCTCTTTACTAAAGGAAAGTGGAGAAGCAGGTGGACCACGTACTGTGGTATAATCCTGTGCAGGCGTTGGAGTTAGATTGCCTGGACTTGAGTCCTGCCTCCACCTCTTCCTAGCTGTGCAGCCCCGGGGAAGACCCTGGGCCTCACTGGCCCTTAGTGTCCACAACTGTAAAGGAGGGGGATGAAGTTCATGATCATGTAGAGCTGATGAGGACATCATGGAAGAGCTTGACGCATGTTAGTTGCCTTTAAGTGATTTGCTCAAAGTCACACAGTAAGTTTGCAGCAGGGCCCAGGCCTCCTGACACAGCAGATGAACCTCTCCTCCCCCCACTGAGGTGGGAATGGATTGGGCCTCTGCTGCTGAAGGCTTCCCCCTCGATAGTCCAGATATCCAGCGGGAAGGAAAGGCCAAGGATGTGGGAGCTGGCACAAACTTCATGGAGGTCTCACGTTTTCGCTTATAAACTCATGCTGGCCTTTCACCCCCTTGTGTGTCCCCCGAGAGGAGACGTGACTGTGACGCTGATGAGCCTGAAGTCCTCTCTCCTGGGGTCCTTCAGGGGCCTGGGAGGGCATCGCCTTGTGATGGCGGCAGCTCTGTGACGTCTCCACAGGGTTTTGTGAAATTTGCAAAAGCAAAGTTTGTAACCACAGTTGATTCAAGTCGCAATCTCTTTTGTATGTTATTGTAAAGATAAACCAATCTCACTGCCAATGAGTCAATTGTGACCCTACAGGATGGCCATGAGTCATAATCTATATAAATACATATGAATATGTAAATGTATTATATGTCATATGTGCTAGAACATATAACCTGCGCTATATAATACGATATAATAAATAACATAAACAATATATTATACGACATATAATATGTAACATGTATAATGCATAAATATCACATATATAAACATGTATGAATATGTGGATCCGAAAACCAAACACACTTCCATCGAGTCAATTCCAATTCATAGCTACCCTATAGAGCAGGGTAGAACTGCCCCTGTGGT